GCGACGTATAGGGAGGAGCGACGTATAGGGCGGAGCGACGTATAGGGCGGAGCGACGTGTACGGCAGAAAATACGGTACTACCACACGTCCACACTAAAATTATCACTTAATGTCAGTAACACTGACCTTTTCTTGTGTTTACTAAGGTTGATAAGCAGCAGGGGCCATCTTGAATAAGACTGACTTTAAAAGTTAATTAGATGTACATCCAGTGTGAGACGTCAATTAACAATGAAATATTTTGCTAACAGACTAGTTCTAACAGTGTATGCCAAAGTTTTATAACATTTCCACAGAACTCCACTTCTAACCCACTTTTATTTCCTTGCATTTGTCACCGTGTGACTTGTTTTGATCCTGTCTATAGTCCACAGTGTTGGTCATTTAGTTATTATCAGCTGCTATTTGTATCTATTTTTTTATTTTATGTTTTCCTGTCCGCTGTGCTTGTTTGTTTCTATTGTACAGCACTTTGGTTGGCCTTGTTGCTGTTTTAAGTGCTCTATAAATGAATTGGTATGGTAATGATCTGAATTGGTACTTTAATTTCATTACAACAGGTATTAAACAGATTTGTTTTGTTTTGTTTCGATAAAAAGCAACCGTGTGAAAAACATTTCAAACACCAGAAACTAAAGACAGTCAAGCATGAAACTGGGATCTGAGTCAGATTTTATGGCTAATCTCTTGTTAAGAAACCTTTTTTTTTTTTAAAGATATACACCATTCTATTGACGCTCACTTGCATTAAAGCTCGAAAGGGTTTTCAGAACCACTTTATCTGTGCTTCTGCAGTAAAACTCCCAACTTGTAAATCCCTTAATTGGCTGAGGTTGAAAAGACAAATCAATAGTCGTTCTTACTCAGTTGTTTCGTTAAGTCAGACTGACAGCAAACGCTGTGTGTTTGAGCTGGACAGGCAAAGCGCAGCCTAATTCGGCTGACATGATGGGAAAGGGAAACGGGCTTTCGGAAAACTTAGGAGGGCTTGAGACAAAGACCCAGCTGTTGTTCAGATGACTTCACCATGACCCGACAACACTGCAGCAGCACCAGCCAGCAAATGGGAAGAAAAGGACTCATATATATATATATATATATATATATATATATATATATATATATATA